TTGTTGATGATATTCTTCATCAGGATCAAGAATAATACTTGGAAATAAAGGCTGAACAAAAATAAACATAAAAATATAACATTGAATTTATTTATATAGAAAGTTATATTTACTTGATTATTAACACTATCACTATAATTTTGAGTTTCTAAACATAATGCACCATGTTTATTATATATTGCTCCATTACGTCCTTTAACACCATCAAGAAAATTTCCTGTATAAAATTGAAGACCTTTTTGAGTTGATTCAATAGTTATTGCTCGACCACTTTGTTCATGAAGAAGTCTAATGATGAATAAATACAATAATAAAAATAAAATAATATTTCTTTTAATTAAATTTATAAAACTGACTTGCCAAATGAACGTTTTCCATCGCCATCAACGATAAACATCATGTCAAAACCATCAAATGATTCATTAATACGATCACCAATACGAGTCGAAGTTCTGAAATCATAGGGAGTATTTTCTACCGATGCTATTTCTCCTAAATAAAAAGTAAAATTAATCAAAACAAAAAAAGATTAGCAATAATAAAACACAAAATAAAAAAAAATTACCTGTAGGAATAAGTTCTTCATCTAATACAATGAAATTTTTAGCTGGTACCATTAGTTGATGATCAAGTACCGATCCACTTGCCTAAACAAAATCAAATTTCTATAATATATTGAACATGTAATATTTACATCTCCGGCAAGATTAAGATAAACATGATTTGTCATATTTATTGGTGTTGGTTTTGTTGTTGTTCCACGAAAATCAAGTATTAATCGATGATCACTTGTCAATGTATATTTAACAGTCACATTAACTCGACCAGGAAATCCACCTTCACCTATTTTTGTTTTTCAAAAAAAACCAAAATCATTTTTCTTTCTCAAATTGAAATTTCAAAAACAAAAAAAAATGATCTACCATCTGGACTTTGATATTTAAAAACAACAGTATCACCATTTTCTGTTGAACTATCCCATACACGTTTATTAAAAACACCATGTAAATAATGTTTTGTTGTAGAATCAGTCTTTGGTAAGTCATAAACAACTCCATCTAGTTCAAAGCGACCATTTTTTATACGATTTGTTACTCGACCAATTGTACAACCAAAACAACATTTATCATCAATATAACCTAATTAAAAAAAAATAAACAATTAAATTATAGAAATGATTTCGTTTTTTTTTTTGATTAAATTTACCTTGAAGATTATCATAACCAAGTGTAATTTCAGTAGTTTGATTATTTTTATCTGGTTGTCGAATGGATTGAATTGTTGCACCATAATTAATTAAAGCAACTTCAAAACCATCTGATGTTGAAAGTGTATATCTAAATATAAATATTGTTAATAGAAAAAAAAAACAAACGAACATTGAATTACTTTTTTATTTCATTTTGATTTTTTGTTATACCAAATAAACTTTCAGTTATTTTCACTGAAGCCATTTTTTTTTATCTTGTCTCAAATATGAAAAGAATATATTTATCTATATGTACCTTCATCATCATATGGAAGACTACTAACGTTCTCTAGCGTATTATTCTATTTAACCAATCGAATATTTATAAAAACTTACATTTCATTTTGTTTATTAATATTTTTCATTATTTTCATGGTTAGAAAAATATTTTTTGCTAATTCATAAATCGATTGTTTGATGTTCTCTATTTCGAATCGTTCTATGATTTGCTGTACTTCGAGTTACACACATGTTTTTATGCAGTATTACATGAGAATAAAGGCGGCAAGGAAATCAGCATAATCTTTAAAAAAATCGTCAACATTACTTATAAAAATTAAAAATAGCTACAAGACTATTTCGAGCAACAACAAAATAGTTGTCTTTTGTTGTTAATCTATTTATGTATAATCTGAAAATAAATCAATAATTTTAAACATTTTCACAAGCATTTGACTTATGATAGCATTTAATTTAGAAAAATATTTCTTTGATAAGGTCTATTTATTGACTTCATTACATGACATTCAATCAAGTAGACTAGCATAAAAATATTACGATAGTATGAAGAAAGAAATAGTAAACTTCAAAATTTCATAAAGATTTTCAAAAGTTTTTATAAGACTTTTCGAGAGTTCACAAAATTTCAATCGTAGTTTTATGATCGACTATTATCTTTTGTTATCTTGTCGAAATTTTGTAGCTCATCTTCTCCATATTACAGACTCTCACCTATTCACATCCCTGAAAAACAATAGATATGAAGTATATGCATGATTCTTTCTGATTTTCAACTTTGCTCTTCATAAAAACCTACTTTTATTTCTTATGAATATCAATCCTATAAATGAAATCAACATATTGAATCTATTATCATAATAATTTGTATTGTATCAAAATAATGAATATTTTTGAATTCTATTAAAATTGACAGAACTAAATCGTTTTCGATGCACTCTGATAATATTGATGTGTCTAAGCCATTTGTACCAGTCACAGAGTCGGAATCAACATCAGTTATGAAATAGACATTAGGATAATCCAAAAGTAGTGGCAATCTCATCTTAATTTTCTCTTTATATAGTCTGATAGAGAAAAGAATGCTGTATGATACATTTGTGTTAGATAGGACAATGAATAATAATTAAATGATAGAAATCGCGCTTATTAGTATTATTTTTCTTTGTTGATAATAAAACTGTCTGCAAATACAATATCTAATTATGTTACTCAATCACAAACACTTTCATGTAAATGATAATAATAATATATCTAGTTTGATATGAATACAAAATTTTTAAAACAAGATAGATTAGTTTCGAGAGAGTTGAATTTTTCTTTATTAAAATCATTTGATTTTTATAGCATCAATACCTTCAAAATCATCATCATTATCATCAAGTCTATTAATCATTGTAATTATTATTGTAAGTTATTTAACGCAAAATTTTTACAGTCTACTCTTACTATATATATATCTCCCACTTAGATTGCAATGATAGGTTTATTTATATCTATAATTAGTTTTTTAATCTATCGATATCATAAAAATCAACGTCATTATTTAAAAACTTTAACACGAACAATCTATGATACATTACAAAATTCATCTTATAATATTACTATACCAACATCCTACTGACAAATAACACCATTAATAGCACAAGAACTTGATCGATCATCTATTTTAAATACACATTATAATCAATATGCTGTTGCTTATGTATATAAATAAAAGAAAAAACATTCAAGCACTATCCACTAAAAAAAACAAAGGGTCGGACCCGATCGATAAAATTTTTTTCTGGAACCGAATTCGAATCAGGTCGATCAAACCACCAATAATCCTCTCAAGAATAAGAAACATTAGATATGAGTATAAATACGAATGCTTAAGGGACACCCCCCCCCCCTTTCCGGGGTTTCTCGAGAACGGCTCATCAGAAAAATTTGAAACTTTCACAGCTGATAGATCTCGATGTGTAGAGTAAAAGTTGTCATAGACTCAAAATTCCCAAATGCTTCTTTCTAGCAGATATTGGGGTTGCAATGGCTAAAAATCGACCCCCAAATCGCCCTCGTTTCTCAGGTACAGTAAATCCGATTGGGCTGTAATTTTTTCTACAGATAGTAGAGACACTTTAGGGGGCCTACTTGTTTTGGTTTCTTTCTATCATTTACCGTTCGAATAAAAAAGCCAAAATACCAAGAGCACCCTAAAAAAATCCATATTTTTTTGAATAGTGCTTGTCTTGTAAGGCCTGCCAAAACTCAACGGTACAATATTTTTCAAAACAAAAAAAAGTAGGCCCCCTAAAGTGTTTCTACTATCTGTAGAAAAAATTTCAGCTCGATCGGATTTACTGTTCCTGAGAAACGGGGGCGATTCTGTAGATTTTTGCTGAAAAATCTGGTTTCTAGAAAACCGCGAAGGAAAGAAAAAATCGTGCTATACCCCTACGGCAATCGATTTATCTTTTCGATTTTATTTTTGCTTTAGAGCTATATTTGAGTTCTCAAAACGTTACCAGTAGATAGAGGGCACTTGAAAACACATGTAGAGCAGAAAAAACAAAAAATGAAAAATTTGAAAATTTTGGGTCCGGAAAGGGGGGGGGAGTCCCCTTAATGCACCCTTCTAATTGAGCATAAAACCTTTCACAAGAGTAGTTACTTTAGAATTCTCTATAATTTTCTCCTTATTTTAGAGCTTCTATCTACTGCAGTTTTTGCAATTCGATAATGAATATAGTTTTTATCTTTTCGTAACATTTTCATATTAAATTACTGTTTGTCAGCAAGATCATCTACGAATCCGTTTCATGGGAAAAATTTAAATTTTTCACATGTGATACTGTATGGGATTGAATCACATGTCTAAAAATAAAGATTTGTTTGAAGTGAAATAGAAAGCACGCTGCTATCAAACATGAGATTAATTGTCGCTTTCCCAAAAAAAAAAAAAAACAACCATATCCATCTGCTTCATAAGTTATGAACTAGTTGATTACATAATCAGAAAATTTCTCATTTGAATAAATAATTTTTTTTGTTATGTTATAATATATTTTCATAAAAATAAAATTAATTTACGCGCGTATATTTTATAATAAATGTCGTAATTGACAAATTTTTAATAAGAAAAACAATGAAAAAAAATCCACATCAGAATCAACCAACAAAAAAGTATATACATCATCAATCATCAATTAAAATGAATAAAAAAATTTATTCAAGTACTGATCGTGTTATGGATAATGTACCATATCCACCAGTTCATCTATTAACTATTAAAGAAATATTTGGTACAAGTGGTTAGTAAATAATTATTATCAAAATTTATTCTATATTAATTTATTTTCTTTCAAGATAAACCTAATCTTCAATTACTTCTTCAACATTTAGAAGCTGAAGGTCGTCTTGAACTTGATGCAGCATTAACAATTATGATTCGTGGTCGAGAATTAACAGCTCGAGAACCAAATTTACTTGAAATAGGTACACCAATTACAATTGTTGGAGATATTCATGGACAATTCTTTGATATGGTTTTTATTTTGTGTTTTATAAAAAAAAAAAAATAATAATAATAATAATTTTTCTATTTAAAATTTAGCTTAAAATGTTTGAAAAAGGTGGTGATATAGCATCTAATCGGTGAATAATTTAGTTATATATCGAAATTTTTTTTCTTTTTTAATTATTTTTTTTTTTTTTTTGTATTAAGATATTTATTTCTTGGTGATTATGTTGATCGTGGTCAATTTTCTGTTGAAGTTGTACTCTATTTATGGGCAATTAAAATTACTTATCCTGATACATTCTTTCTTCTTCGAGGCAATCATGAATGTAAGATTTTTTTTTTTTGTATTAAATTTTGAATTTCAAATAAAAGTTTATTTAATTTGTAGGTCGTAATTTAACAGTTTATTTTACGTAAGTTAATTAGCTTGAAAATTTTTTAATATATATTATATTTAATAGTAAGAAAAAGATTTTTGTTACTGTCGTTTTAGCATGAGAGACAGCTACAATAGTCGAAAAGAGTCCCGCTACAAGGTAAAAAACTGTACAGGGAGATTGTTTTATTCTATCTATCCTAGGACATATTTCTTCATTCTCCTTTTACTTAATCTTCTAGAGATGCAATAAGAAAGTAGTTAATATACTGTAACGATTCATTCGAATGTGATGATCTCCGGCTAGCGTCTATGGGAAAGGACGGATCCAAATTTTCACTCTGTACACTTCAACACTCCTTTTAGATCATATTTAAAAAAAAAATACCTAAACTTTAAACCTTCAGTCTCATATTTTGACCACAAATAAAGTATATTGAACTGTCTGCTCGCAAGGACTAATCAGGACTTGATCAGTCTTTATGTAGAAGAGCTAGAAGATCAACATAGATTTTTCCTTCAGACGATGATACGCAAGGGAAAAACGACATACTCTAGTGCTCCAAGGCACACGGAGTCCACTGAAGTACAGAGTCCAACGAGAATAAACCAAGGAAAAACGGCGTCGTCCAATAATTTCCTAATGCCTGGGGTTTTTGTACTTCACGGACCTCATGCACCCTGGTTGTGCTCTGTGGACTCCAGAAGTACAGTGAGAGACCAGTAAATACAAGAGTACCTCGTTTTGCTATATACTCTTTGTATTTCCGAAGTCCAAAAGTACGTTGTTTCACCCTTGATGATATCTCAACATAGAAAACATATCTCATGACGTTAGAGCCTTCCTTCGATAGCTCAATGCTGTCTTGATTCTCAAGAAAAATTTCATGTCAAACGATATTAGTCTTCCTAGATCTATGAAATAATTTTTGGGTAATCTTCACATAACAGTTATTTGAAATCATCGAAGGATGGACGTAAGTATGCATTTGTGGTTCGGTGCGTCTAAGAGAGGACCTGCATCCAAAGCATATTTATATATGTACATACTTCAAAACAAGTAGGCGAATGACTGAAACAATGGATATTAGTGAACGCAATTATATGCAGAATGAAGAATGCAAAGAAAAATTTATAACCGGGTTGCACCTGTGGGTACATTTAAAAAATATAATCCAATCCGTGAAATGTGAAAAAACCTAATTCGTGACTTCTTAATGGTTCAACCCGCACACGAGCTGTGGGTCATTCTATTACCATCTCTGATAGAAGGTTTTGAGTTTTTTTAATATATTCAGTACTTTAATAAAGTGTTTGTGATTCGAGGGAAAAAAACACCGAGCTATATTTAGTTTCATTGATCGAAAAATTACATTCGAACAAAAAACTTGTATTTTAGATTTAAAGATGAATGTCTTCTTAAACTTGGTGATTTATTCTATGAAGAATGTATGAAATCATTCGATTGTTTACCAATAGCAGCATTAGTTCAAGGTCAATTATTTTGTATACATGGATGTATATCACCAGAAATACGTTATATTCGAGAAGTAACTGATATTAATCGTATTATTGAACCACCAACAAAAGGTTTTATAGAGAGAAAACAAAAATTCGATTTTAAGAAATAATTATTTTCTTTCTAAAGGACCACTCTGTGATATTCTTTGGGCTGATCCAACTGATGGTTATGATAATGAAAAACTTGAACAAAGATCAGAAATGTATACACATAATGGACCACGTGGTTGTTCATATAATGTATCTTATAAAGCAATGTGTAAATTTCTTGATGATAATGATCTTCTTTGTGTTATTCGTGCTCATCAAGTACAATCAGCTGGTTGTAAAATGTATAAAAAACATGAAAAAACATTATTCCCAACATTAGTAACAATTTTTTCAGCACCAAATTATTGTAAACTTCTTTTTCTTTTTTTTTTTAATAATCTAAAATTTTAAAAGATTTATGAACAAATATTTTTTTGTTTTTAGGTGAAGTTTATAAAAATCGTGGTGCAATTTTACGTTATGATGGTTCTGTAATGCATGTTTTTCAATATAAGTAAAAAACAAAATAATAATAACTTGAATTTAATTATTGTTTTTTATTTTTTTTCATATATATTTATTTCATTTATAAAGATGGGTAAAACATCCATATGTTCTTCCAAATTTTCTTGATGCATTTCGATGGAGTATTCCATTTGTTTTGGAAAAAGTAACTGATATGTTTTTAGCTATATTAAAATTTTGTTCGGATGAACATGATAGTCGATTATCAAGACGAACTCAAATTATTGAAAAAGTAAATAAGAATATTTTCTACTTAAGTTAATCCGCCATCTTCCAATGGCATAGAATATTAATCTCGTTCATATATGAATAGTATGGAGAGACAGAATTTCACATTGAAATATTGTTTTTTGATTTTTTGATATATGCCTCAGAGTTGTAACCGGTTGAAAATTTTTAGACCGGTCCGGTCCGGCCGGTGATCTGCCGGTCTAAAAAATAATTCCAGAGCGGCAAAAAACCGGCAAGTTTATGAAATTTGTTCATATGATAAAGGTGATATTAGGAGTGAACTTTCATTCGAGATGTATATAGATTTTTACCTAGCAAAAAACAGCGAATTTTTTAAAAAACTTTTAATTTTAAAGGAAAATAATCAATGTAACAAGAAAATTAAAATATCACTCATTAAAAAAGGCCTAATCTTGAGCGTTTTGTGCCTTGTTTT